AAGGTAGCTAAGATGCATGGTTTTTCTTGTTTTATAAGAAACAAGAATTCCTTGTTTTATAAGGAGAATCTTTATCACCTGCAAACACACACACACACACACACACACACAGAAAGACAGACAGACACAGAGAGAGAGAGAGAAGGAGAAAGAAAGAAAGAAAGAAAGAAAGAAAAAGAAAGAGAAAGAAAGAAAAAGAATGTGAGAGAGAGATGAAAGAAAAAAAGAAAAAAGGGACAGAGAGAAAAAAGGAAGGAGAGAGAGAGAGAGGGAGGGAGAGAGGGAGGGAGGGAGGGAGGGAGGGAGAGGAAACACATGGCCAGCAAGCCACTCCCACCAGGTCACATGGCCGGCAAGCCACTCCCACAAAGGAGGCCACACCCACAGAGTCCAAATTTTTTTGAAACCCACCACTCTCTCTCTCTCTCTCTCTCACACACACACACATTAAAACCTAGAAGAGAGTGGGGTTTCTGGAGAAGAGGAAGAGGAGGAGATAGAAGGAGAAAAGGGGAGAGGAGGAGAAAGAGAAGGAGGAGATAGAAGGAAAATAACCATGTCACTAACTCAACACCTGCACTTCCCTTAACAACGGTGCCAAGCAAAGTCATAAAATGGAGCACGTCACACGTGTCTCACTTAACAAGAGACATATGGGGCTCAGTCGTGCCCGTAAATTGAGAACTACCTGTATTTGCACCCACAAACAAACACCTAAACTTGCCATTTTTAATTGTGCCATGCTAAGGGAGGACGGAAGGGCAAAGGAAATAAAATTTTCTGCACCTAGCGGCTCGCCACAATTTTTACACAAAGTTGACTGAGGCTTTGCCAGTGCGTTTAAATCAAATGGGTGTGAGGAAGCCAATTTTTGAATTTAATCCATATGGTAAACAGCTGTTTCTTCCCTTGGACTGATTTCTAAAGTTTTCTTTAAAAAAAAAAAACTGAGAAGGAACCGTGGGGGGGGGGGGGAAGGGACCGTATTTTCAGTAAGTTCATCAGGACAAAAACGAAACTTTGGTCTGGCTGCAGGCGGCAAAAATTAAGAGCAGGTGTCAGTCAATCAACATTTTCTATATGCCCCAATAAGAGAAATGAAGTCAAATGGGCCCTTTGCCAAAAAGCAGGGATCGATTTAAACTTTTGTCTGGAAAGGTTGTGTATTTTGGGAGACGGATTTCATTGCTGCAAGGCAGATTGTTTTCAAAGCTACGGTCCACACATTGTCAAAGAGAAGACAATTATGTCATGGAGTCTCCTTTAGCTGGTCTTCGTAGCTGTTTTTCCACTGACATTCAAAACAATGTCAGCTCATGCAGGGTTTTTTTTTTTTTTTTAGCTAGTTTAAAATGGTTTTCCTGAGCTGTTCCTTCTACTTAAACTACCAATATTAGTGTTAAATCTCTGCATTTTCCACCCCAACTCCTATACGTGATAGATAGATAGATGGCTGGATTGATGGAAAGATGATAGATAGATGATAGATGATAGATAGATAGATAGATAGATAGATAGATAGATAGATAGATAGATAGATA